ATGGGGGCCACCAGGCTGCCAAGGGGGAGCAGGCGGAGGGACAGCAACCTTTCCCCCCTGGGGTGGTCCGGTGACAGTAACCTACAGCATGGCCTACAAGCATTTCTGCCAAAAGCTGCTGGGTTTTGAGATCTCAGTCTCTGGGATCATGGGCATTAAGCAGCTTGATTGGGAGCCAGAGAGTTCATTTGTGGGAGGTGACTCAGGGTCTCGTTGGACGGGGAGGAAAGGGCCGGTCCACCCCCATCCTGTGAAACCCCACGTGTCTCGTCACTATGGACCCAAAACCTCACTGTCCAATGGCCTCTGGAAGATGGTGGCAACCAGGCTGCCAAGGGGGAGCAGGCAGAGGAACAGAACCCTTTCCCCCCTGGGGTGGCCAGGCGACAGTAACCTATTGCATGGTCCAGACGCATTTCTGCCAAAAGCTGTTGGGTTTTGTAATTTGTTTCTGAAACTGTGGGATAATAGCCATTAAGCAGTTCAATCAGGAACCAGAGAGGCCATGCCTCCAATTATATAGCTGAGCCAGAGGTGGTTTGTGGGTGTGTCTCCCACATACCTAAGCACAGTGGTAGGGTGTTTGCCTTGCGCACAGCCGGCCCGGCCGAGCCTGGTTTGATTCCTCTGCCCCTCTCGGAGAGCCTGGCAAGCTACTTAGAGTATCTCGCCCACACAGCAAAGCTTGGCAAGCTACCCATGACATACTCAATATGCCAAACACAGTAACAACAAGTCTCACGATAGAGACGTTACTGGGCAAGCAAATCGATGAATAACGGGAGGACCACCATAACTTTCTTGGTAAACTTTGCCCCAAGGTTTTGGGGTCTGGCCAAAGACACAGCAGTAATTTGGGGGTATCTAGAAGTCTGAAGGCACCATGAGGCTACTGATGCACCCGCCTCACAGGTACAGATTGACCTCCTGGTGGCACCATACCCCCTGTTACTTTCTTTCAAGACGTTTATTAATGGATTGTGACCATTAATGAGCTTATATGGCTCCATAATTCTTTTTATTGGGAGGGGGCACACCCTGTGTTGCTCAGGGATCTTTCCTGTCTATGTGCTCAGGGCTCTTCCTTGCAGTGCTCAGGAGGCCATATGTGGTGCTACAGATGAAACCAGGTTGGCCATATACAAGGCAAGAGCCCTACACTCTGTACTATTTCTCCTCTTTCTCACATGCCAACCCCAGGTGTACAATTCTGCTGCACTGAACTTACCACCAAAGCACCAGTATCGATACCTGTTCTCAGTAGGTCCAATCTTTTGTGCCCTTTTCCACCTCACATTACCTTTTCCCTCCCTCCCCACTGCCAATCACTGCTAATCTCAGTTATGTTATCAGTTTATGAGTTTATTTTCATTTGCCGTTATTCCCTTGCCTTGTTTCTTTATATGTATACGACATATAAGCAAGACAGTCAGGTATTGATATTTATTCTATTTACTTATTTTACTTATTATGGTATCTTTGAGTTCTGTTCATATGCAGCAAAATGCAAGATTTCATAATTCCTTATAACACAGTAGTATGCCATTATGTATGTATGCCTCACTTTCTTTAACCTTTTATAGATTTCTGATCATTTGAGTTGTTTCCAAGTCTTGGATATTGTAAATAGAATGTGGAGTACACATATCTTTTTGAATTAGAGTTATTGTGTTTTTGGCTTAGATACCAAGGGGTATGATTATTGGATCATATTATAGTTTTATTTTCAGTTTTTTTCACATCTACAGACACTAACAAATAGATACTAACTGAGTTATGAATTCAGATGTGAGAACAGGCATTGAGAACACTGTTAAGGAAGTGGTGGAAATGATTCCTGTGTGTGGGAAGTGTTGTATATGAGAGTAAAGGGTGGAGAGACTGGTGACCTGCAGGAGACTGATGAACATGAGTCATAACAGAATAATAATGAAAAAATCAGACAAAAAGAGGTCAGTGGCATTATGAGACTTTATGACCTTGTTTCACATACTGTGTGATGACATGATTCACTAGAACTGTGGCAGAGAATGACTCCACTGGAATAGCTGTGAGGGTCATAGGAGTTATGGAATAAAGGAAATTTGGAGTTAAAAGTTGGTTGGTTCATTAATATCACTATTGAGATCATTTAAGATAATGATGTGCGTGGTATGGAGAAGAAAACTGTGAACCAGATTTCTTTACTGTAGAGAGCTGTCACAGCAATGCAAGCAAAAGGCAGTAACATTTAGCAGACATTAGGTGCCTCCTGAGAGAAATCAGAGGGTAGTCTGAAGAGAAATACCCAGAAATGGAAAAATTAAAAGAGACTGGGCCCAATCCCTTCTGTGCTAGCTCTGTGCTCATCTCTCAAATGAGGGCTGGGAAATGAGTAGCCTCCTTTTGAGGGCAGGTCCCTGGGGAAGGAAGCATCCTTGGTCAGAATCAGGTTTGGTAACACCAGGAAGTATCTGTAGCACTCTGTGGAGTTGAGAATGTTTACAGTAGAATGGGCAAAATAGTTGAGCAAAACAAAGAATTTGGAAGAGTCAGCAGTAGGATGGGACTCTCCCCCAGGGAATACGTTGCTACACAGAAATGGGCATCTTAATGGCAGAGCCTACAATGCATGCCAAAGTCTTAGATAAGAGATACAAGATAAATGGAGTCAGTACTCCTAGGAGCTATCAACTGAGAGCAGGGGAATTATGCAACATCTGATGGTAGCAGTTCAAGGCCTTTTCTATTGGAGGGCAAGCAGAGACCAGCTTATGGTGCTGTGGTGGTAGGGGTGGTTCCCACATACTTGCTAGTTGGACACTAACTTTTGCCCCACATCTCTGTGAGACCACTTGTGCTCATGAACCACCTTTGGAAGAACTTTACCTATTTGGGATTCCAGAATTTATTTTGTTTATATCTTTTTTTTGGTATAATGTTAGGGATCAAACCCAAGGTCTCACACAATCAAGGCAAGAGCTCTACTACTGTATTACATCCCTGGAACAGTTAGTTTGATTTTTATTCTTCCCTAAGATATTCTTGGGACTCCACGTCAGGCTGTTCTTACTTGGGGTACCCCAGAGGGGAGCAGGTGAGAGCCCTTCCCACCCCCAAGGGACCCAGCCCCAGCAGCCAACCTCTACTACCCAACCTCTACCACACTGCAGGCTGCTTTCCGGACCATGCAGCCATGCCTACCCATTTTCCATAATTAACATTCCATGTTTGATGAAGTTCAGACAGTGGGCAACAAATCATAGAGAGAAATTATATATATATATATATATATATATATATATATATATCTATCTTGGAGAGCCCGGCAAGCTACCGAGAGTATCCTGCCCACACGGGCAGAGCCTGGCAAGCTCCCCATGGTGCATTCAATATACCAAAACCAGTTAATATAACAGGTCTCATTCCCCTGACCCTGATGACCCTGAAAGAGCTTCCAATCATTGGGAAAGACAAGTAAGGAGAGGCTGCTAAAATCTCAGGGCTGGGACGAGTAGAAACATTACTGGTGCCTGCTCTAGTAAATTGACGAACAATGGGATGATAGTGATACAGTGAAGATATTCTCTACCAATTTGTGTCACATGACCTATTTTAAATTTCAAGTACAAATATTATTTTATTTATTGAAATAATATAATTATTATTAATCTCCAGGATTCAGCACAACTTTACATCATTCTTGAATAGAGTTTTTGGCTTATTATTCAACATTGTTAAATTTTTGGCCTATTATTCAACATTGTTAAATTTTTTCTTTAAGAACAAATAATTATGTGAAATGAGAGGGTTGGTTTCTAGCATAAAATAATTATTTTGTACTCCTCATGCTAGGGCTCAGAACTCAAATGCTACATAAAATGTTACCCTAAATGAAAATCAGCATAAAATCTGTTTAAAAAATCACTGGTGTGTAACCAAAAATGAGTAACTGAACACTATCAGCTGAACTCTACACCATTTTGGTGCTTAGTGAACTTAAATTGCCCAAGCAGATATTGCCATCGATGACTACCTATTTCATACTTCCTGTCTCTGACAATGCAGTGGAACTTTGGGAATGCATAAGGACATGGGATCGGTCAGAAAACAGATTTGCTTACCTAGTAGTATGTGTGGAGGACATGGAAACATTGATGAAGAAGTATTTTTACTTAGTGTCTGGATCTAAGAAAAAAAAACTATATGCTATCTCTCTTCATCCTTTGCGGGCTTTGCTTCTTTAGAGTAATTCTGTTTTTAAGGTGAGATTGAAATTTAGAGATCCATTATGATAACAAAAGGTATCTGTATGAAAGAGTGAGGATTTCTGTTTTCAGTCAGCACTTCAAGACTCATTGAGAATGGTCAGAAGTTCCCGTGAAACACGTCCTCTAGCATGTCTTCTTGCATGCTAGGTATCTGGCCACACTTTTGCTCTGAAGTGCTTTGTGTTGTGTGTTCGTTCACTGAGGTGACTAACAGTTTGGAGAACTACTGAGTTGCCAGCCAGGATCCTAAACAAACAGGAACTAAAGAGGACAGAGGACAGATTTGGGAGGCTGACTTCACCATGACTGTACTTCCAATTCAAACTAACAAAAGAAGATATAGTATGATTTTTGTGAGTTAGAAAAAAATCAGTGCGTATTGAGGTTGCATTGCCTAGAATATGGTATGTAGCAATATATATGAGATTTGGTTTCAGAAGGGTAGGGGGTTGGGACCGTAGGGGTGTCAATTGATATCATACCTGGTGATGCTTGAGGGTCACTCTGGGGACCATGTGGTGCCAGGGAATCAAACCAGCTCAGCTGCTTGCAAGGCAAGCACTTTAATCCCTATATTATATCGCCAGCCCTCAGTATGAAAGGAAAATACAAAGGAAATACACAGGTCGGGTGAGAGCAGACTCACCTGACCTGCGTGAGAATGGGTGTCAGGTGAAGGAGTCATTTTTCATTGATGCCGCCTCCTCAGGGTAAAGCAGCCCTCAGCTCTTGTATTTTTCTTTCCTGCAGGACATTTGTGAAGATATTTCAGACCACGTTGAGCAGATCCATGCTCTCCTTGAAACCGAGTTCTCCCTGAAGCTGCTGTCCTACTCTGTCAATGTGATCGTGGACATCCATGCAGTGCAGCTCCTCTGGCACCAGCTCCGAGTCTCAGTGCTGGTTCTTCGGGAGCGCATTCTGCAAGGCCTGCAGGACGCCAATGGCAACTACACCAGGCAGACAGACATTTTGCAAGCCTTTTCTGAAGAGACAAATGAGGTGGGTATTTCCTTTAGAACCAGATGATGTCTTGTGAAGTGTGAGCATTTGACAGTGTTTCAGTTCAGAGAGGTGAGCTTGGAGTTCTTTGAAGGGAAGTGAACAGGTCCTGAGCCAGGTTTTGAACCTAAGAAGAGTGATCAGAGGGCACTTCTCATATGAATAAAGCTTTAGGCCATGGTTTACTCACTTCTGGTAGTTTGCCCTGCTACCACATGGAGTTGGGCTGGAGCAATAGCTCAGCGGATAGGGCGTTTGCCTTGCATGCAGCTGACCCAGCCGACCCGGGTTCGATTCCTCTGCCCCTCTTGAGAGCTCAGCAAGCTACCTAGAGTATCTTGCCTGCACAGCAAAGCCTGGAAAGCTAGCCATGACATATTCGATATGCCAAACACAGTAACAACAAGTCTCACAATGGAGACGTTACTGGACCCGCTCAAGCAAATCGATGAACAGTGGGAGGACAGTGCTACATTGCTACCACCTGGAGTTGTTGGTGTTATCTGGGCTCCTGTTTTCCACTCAATTATATAATGATGACTACTTATTGAACATATACTTTGTGCCAGACCCTTGGTGATAATAATATGTAATAGAAATTAAAGCAGGGTCTTTCCCTTCAAGGAGCTTAGAATGTAGGGAGTGATGGAGACAAGAGCAGATTTTGAGGCCAGGCTGTGATGTCTGTATGGTTGACTGGAGGACAGGAAAATTGGCATCTACTTCCGGTAGGGAAAATTTTACAGAAGTGAGCCTAACCTGAGGTCTAAATGAGAAGTTGCAATATTCTGGTAGATCATAACAAAGAGTGCTGTGACCAATGATCCAACAGTATGAGAGAGAATGAAAGGCTCAGAGAACTACTGATAGGGTAGAGCAAAAATTTCAAGGGTTCGGGAAGTGGGCTTTCAATTAATGGTCAACAGTGGCTGGAGTGGGAGTCCAGTGGATAGAGTGCTTACCTTAATGTTGTTAGCCTGGGTTTAAATCTCCGCACCTCTATGGCACCCCAGTTCCCTCCAGGGATGATCCCTAAAACAGAGCCAGGAGTAGGCTCCAGGTACCACCAAGTATAGCCCTAAAAAAATTAATAAATAAGCTAATGATAAACAGTTAAGATAATGAAGAGCAAACACCAGATGTAATAAACAAAACACTTGAACTTTAGTAAGAGGACAACAGAAGAGTTTGCTCAGCGACTTGCCAAGTTTAGATTCATGCTCTACAAAAATGTTATAAATTTGGTGAGTTAAATGGACTTTAGAAATTTATACAGTTAATATGTTGAGATGGTTTTGTGCCCATTATTAGTTTGTTGTCATAAAACTCCCCAGCCCTGTGGCAAACATATCCAAAAGTATGGTCAACCAAGGGTTCAGGAAGTGGGCTTTCAATTAATGGTCAACAGCCACTGTTGACCATTAATTGAAAGCCACTGTTGACCATTAATTGAAAGCCCACTGTTGACCATTAATTGAAAGCCACTGTTGACCATTAATTGAAAGCCCACTGTTGACCATTAATTGAAAGCCCACAACCCATATGGTTGCCACAGTGGCTGGGGAGTTTGGCTGATAAGACTGGAGAGTTTGAATTGCACACAGGAGCCCTAGGTCCCTTCCTGGGATCAACATGGTTCCCTAAGAATGGAGCTGGGAAGAACTCCCAAGCCCCATAGGGTGTGCCCAAAAATTAAAAAGAAAAGAATGGATACTGTAAATTTGTTCTCTTATTTGTATATCTACTCCCTTTGCTGTTGCTGGAATGTCCAGAGTCAATAATGTGTGTCGCTGGGCTGTGGTGCTCACACACTTGGTTGTAGTGCTCATATAGGGCTGCACTCTGTAGTGCAATGCTTGCACACATGGGCGGGGGGGGGCACACTATTTATGGTGCTTACTGACACTGTGGGTGCAGTGCTCACTAGGGCTATTTGCAATGTTCACACATCTGTGCACTGGTGATTGAATTCCTGGACATGGTGCCCACACATTTGTTTAGTTGAGATGTTCCCTGAAGGCTTCACCTTTTCATTGTGGTGCTTGCACACAAATGCCTGTGCACAAAGGATCACACAGTCTGTTGTGGAATCAGGGCTGCCAGACGGCAGAGCCACAGGAATTGTGCTACGGGCAACAGTGCGAATCAATCAAACCTGCAGCTTCCTGCAAACTTGCTTGCAAGACAGGCACCTTTGCCAGATGCCATCGAGTCATCCACCGGGCCTGAGGATAGTATCAGTGTGAATTCAAGTGAATTCTCCTGTTCCCAAATCAAACGGACATCGAAAGTCCAAAGCACTGTGCTAGTAAAGCAGGGACTCTGTGCATGTGTTTGCAGATGCTATAGATACATAGAATGTCTCTGTGTATATATATAAAAAATACCTTACGTCTGGGCACCCAATTTAGTGCTCTACTCTTGGTTTTATAATTATTATGTATTCTACAAGTTTATAAAGTGCTGATAAAATATCTAGCATTATTTATTTTTCATTCAAAATTTTTATTTCTCTGCAGCACCATGACTTACAACACTGTTCATGATAGCATTTTATGTACAGAATATTACAGCACCACACCTGCTACCAGAATGTCCATTTCCATCCACTATTGTCTTAGGGTCACCCTCATATCCCTCACCTCCACTCCCTGGACTGCCATCATGGTATGCTCAGTTCTGTAGACTAGTTCTGTGGTTCTGTTGCCTTTAGTCATGTTATTTCTTTACTGTTTCTTTATATCCTATATATGAGTGAGATCATTTTGTATGTCCCTCTCTCTCTTTCTGGCTGACATAACTCAGCATGATATCTGCTATTTTCATCCATGCAGTAGCAAATTTCATCTTTTCTTATAGCTGAGCAGTATTTCATATATATATATTTTATACATATATATATATGATATCACTGTCACTGTCCTCCCATTGTTCATCGATTTGCTCGAGTGGGCCCAGTAGCATTGTAAGACTTGTTGACTTGTTGTTACTGTGTGTGGCATATCGAATACGTCATGGGTAGCTTGCCAGGCTTTGCCATGCAGGCGAGATACTCTCGGTAGCTGCTGGGCTCTCCAAGAGGGGCAGAGGAATCAGACTCGAGTCAGTAGGGTCGGCCTTGCACAAGGCAAATGACCTACCCACTGTGCTATCGCTCCAGCCCATACATGACATATATCATATATATATTATATGTATAATAGTTTCTTTCAAATTTTTTTTCAACTTTTCAACTTGGGTTGTTTCCAGATTTTGCATTAAAAAATCCGCAATGAGTTCTGCTGTTTGTTAATATTATATTGGTTCAACATTATCAACAACACAAAAATATGTGCCTATTCTCATACATGATTAATATTTATTGATTGTTGTTGATAATTGTTTTCAGGATAGTAATCCTTTTGCTGTGGCGCTGAAGCATGTGGGACTCAAGTAAGCTTAGTTTTACTGCTTTCACTTGGTCTTTGTTTTTATTTAGTGCTCTCTGTTATTGTGGCTATGAGGTAAGTTACAGAGACTTCAGTAGGATCCTTTTGAAATCATACAAGGAATATGAAGATATGCTACTAGTTAGAAGACTATTAGTGATTATATGTTTCATTCTAAGTTTGATGCTTCTTTTTTAAAAATTTTTATTAGTGAGACACCATGAGGTACAGTTGTAGACTTAAAAATTTTTGTGCTTAGGTTTCAATTATACAATGATCAAATACCCATTCCTCCACTAGTGCCCATTTTCTACCACCATGGATCCCAGTATCCCTCCCACCCCCCATCCCCCCAATTCCACCCTGCCTCTGTGGCAAGGCATTTCTTTTGTTCTCTCTCTCCTTTTGGGTGTTGTGATTTGCAAAAGAGGCATTGAGTGGCAATCATGTTTGGTCTATAGTCTACTTTCAGCATGCTCTCATCCTGGGAGGATCCTCCCAATACCCTTAAAGGGTTCTTATTTGATATTCTTGTGACTATGATAGATCATGAAAAATCTTAGACTAGTCAACAGTACCCTAAGACTGATATCTATGAGGTATTTGCTAATGATGTAAAGATCAAACAAGGGGACAGCTTGTCTAAACTCAGCAGAGATCTTTCTATAGATATTATCTGCGTCCCAAGTCTACACATGCCTTTATTGTTTCTTCCATATGTACTGCTGCTCTGCCCAGTATTCAGTACTAATAAGTCACCTCCTATGTCTAATTCCTTTATGAGAAGGGGCATTAGACATCTTTGACTAAAGCCCATTTAGGTAATAGTTTTATTTATTTGTTCAACAAACAGTTGTTCAATCAACAAGTGTACCTGGGGATAGAGCAGTACTCTAGGCTTTATTATAATCATGGTTGTTGTTTGATAGACTGTGTGTCTGACGCAGTTTTGTGAACTTGCCTCATTCTTGAAGTGGTAACCAAAGAAATGAAGAGAAGCCACTGAGGATGATAATTTGTTGTTAACCATTTTGGCACAGCTGTTTCAAGCATAGATTGCTTAATATCCATTGTGTTTTTCATATATGAGCTCAACAGTTGTTTACAGACGTGGCGGGGAAAGCATATGCATTTTCAAATTTATGGTCAGTCTTCAGTTCTATTGCAGGAATGCAAGAGTATATTCTACAAAGGGCAAAGGTGTATTGAATTCTCAGTCATATTTCTGTGGATGTTTTTTGTGAACCGAAGCTCTTTCTCCATTTTTATCCTTACTAAAATTGTGGATTTTTGATTTTCTTTGTTTGTGCTACTGTGACACTGTGAGATGATTTCAAAAACTGGTTTGCTTTTATTTCTGCCAGCATACTAGAATTGTAGAAAACAAGAAAGGAATTAGTATAATTTGTTTTAACTTTATCAGTAGATAGTCTGTGAAAGGCTAGTAAAACAAAGTGGAAAGTATCATAAGACATACTGATAAACTAGCACAGCAGATGCCCTCCCAGTGAAATGAGATTAATTTTTCTCTTTTTTAGACGTTGGTTGAGTTTCATCATCATTCTGAAAAAT